ATATTAAGTGAACATTTTACATTTTAAATGTAGCCTACATTTTAAACAGAATAATGTCATGTTTGTTCTATTTTGCAACGAAATAATAGTTCCAACGAAATATCATCTGGTGTGCGTCTCCAGGCAACATACAGCAGTGTTTCATTAGTGAATGAATCTGATGCTTTGAATGATTTGGAGAGTCAGTGATTAATAACCTATTCATAACTACAGCATTTTGCTTCGTTACTGAATGACTGACGCGATGCCTGGCTCATTAAGACAGCGACTTGCCACCATCTATGGCAGTTTTATTTTTAAATCTACAAGTATCACTTCAATTTGCCATCATTTATTGCTTTATTTATTATATTAATAATACACTTAATTGAATGTTAAGAATATGATATAAAATATGACATACAATTAATAAGAATAGAAAATATTTGCTTCTATAAAGGTAAAAAATGCACCTGCAAATCAATTTAAGGGGACAAATATTGTCCTTTAATAAAAAGGTGTGACTGTGGTCTAAGTGGAAGAGAGGGGGTACGCAGAAGAATGTTAAATGCCCCAGTGGGTACGCCGCTGTAAAAAGTTTGAGAACCACTGCTCTAAACGACAGAACGGTTTTCAAAATAAAGTTTTAATCTCTAAACGACAGAACGGTTTTCAAAATAAAGTTTTAATCTCTAAACGACAGAACGGTTTTCAAAATAAAGTTTTAATCTCTAAACGACAGAACGGTTTTCAAAATAAAGTTTTAATCTCTAAACGACAGAACGGTTTTCAAAATAAAGTTTTAATCTCTAAACGACAGAACGGTTTTCAAAATAAAGTTTTAATCTCTAAACGACAGAACGGTTTTCAAAATAAAGTTTTAATCGCTAAACGACAGAACGGGTTTCAAAATAAAGTTTTAATCTCTAAACGACAGAACGGTTTTCAAAATAAAGTTTTAATCGCTAAACGACAGAACGGGTTTCAAAATAAAGTTTTAATCTCTAAACGACAGAACGGGTTTCAAAATAAAAGTTTTAATCTCTAAACGACAGAACGGGTTTCAAAATAAAAGTTTTAATCTCTAAACGACAGAACGGGTTTCAAAATAAAAGTTTTAATCTCTAAACGACAGAACGGGTTTCAAAATAAAGTTTTAATCTCTAAACGGTTTCAAAATAAAACTTTTAATCTCTAAACGACAGAACGGGTTTCAAAATAAAACTTTTAATCTCTAAACGACAGAACGGGTTTCAAAATAAAACTTTTAATCTCTAAACGACAGAACGGGTTTCAAAATAAAACTTTTAATCTCTAAACGACAGAACGGGTTTCAAAATAAAACTTTTAATCTCTAAACGACAGAACGGGTTTCAAAATAAAACTTTTAATCTCTAAACGACAGAACGGGTTTCAAAATAAAACTTTTAATCTTCGCTTTCATTGCATTTTCTTTCACTACAGAGAATGGTGGCCCAGTTTCTTGACTGTGGCTGTCATTAACATCTGAATCCATACGGTTTTGAAATGATGTCACAATTTCCATTTTCAGTGAGAGATACTTTTATTTTGAAACCCGTTCTGTCGGGTTTCAAAATAAAAGTATCCCTTTTTGTCAAGAAACTGACGGCCACCATTCTCTGTAGTGAAAGAAAATGCAATGAAAGCGAATGTGCGTATCATTTGATATCTTTGATATTTTCAGGCCAGACCGTGTGCAATACATAAATACTTACATTTTCCATATTCAAACATGTTTCATGTTTACAAATCTGTGCGTGCAATATTCAGTTTTCTATTTTACTTACATTTTTAATCGTTTTTACTCATCTGCCCATTCCTGCGTATAACAACTATATGTACATTTACTATTTGTATTACTACGTTCTTATATTTTGTAAATATGTTATTGCTCCTACAATTCTGTGTCTAGCTGGTGTATTTGTTGTATTTCTGTGAGCACATGAAACGCTAACCAATTCAAATTCCTTATGTATATGATTCCAATTGACAGCTCAACCAGAATGCATCTTTCAGAAACATGATCCTATCGAATCTACGTTTTTACCCGAAATATATGAACGATATTAAAAAATCAACGTGCACAGAAACGAGCCCAACAAAGGACTGCTAATATGTAATACTGTCAGGAAGTGCGCTGTGATGCGATTCACCAATCAGCGCGCAGCATTCTGCCCTGCTGCCTTGGTAACAGCGAAAACGTTGGTTTTTTGAATTGACCAATCACGACAGGCGATTCAGACATTTAAACTGGCGTTTATCCGTTAACTGTCTTCACCTGCTCAGATGATAGTTGACTCTGCTTGTGGAGAGACGAAATACTCACGAAGCTTGTGTGTGAATAAGAGCGCTTCATCTTTGGGGACAATTTTATTGTGCTTGGAAGGAAACGGATTTGTTGGATTTTTGGTAAGATGAAATATAAAAAAAAATTTTTTCGAGTCAGCTATGAAGTTATGAACACAACTGCAGTAGTCAACATTGTATTTGGTTGCGTTTCATAACTGTTCATATATACATTTATACGTTTTTATGTTAAGGCTTATGGAAAGCTTAACTTACATAATATATATTTATTCACTTGGTATTATGTAGTTTTTAAACTTTAAACGGCACTTCATAGTGCTTCACGTGCTCTATAGCCAGACTCTAACTTTGCTGTTATTTGTCCTCTTTCTCCTGCAGAGTGATCGTGGCTGCAGTAACGTTAGTAATGTCCCATTTTGGGTTTGAGAATGACATCCACAACGTCCTCCGTCTGGACATGCCCATCACAAATGCCCCGATGGCGAGGTGGCAGAGAAAAGCCAGCACATCCAACTCCACCAGCACGAACTCCCTCTCGCCGAACAAGAGTGTCAACAGATCCGCGAGCCTTTCCAAAACCCCCAGTAAAACACCCGGTGAGTGTCGCGTGGGTCCTGCTCACTGTAGCGCTGGAGTGTCTTCTATGTTTTTTTTTCGAGTCAGCTATGAAGTTATGAACACAACTGCAGTAGTCAACATTGTATTTGGTTGCATTTCATAACTGTTCATATATACATTTATACGTTTTTATGTTAAAGCTTATGGAAAGCTTAACTTACATAATATATATATTTATTGACTTGGTATTATGTAGTTTTTAAACTTTAAACGGCACTTCATAGTGCTTCACGTGCTCTATAGCCAGACTCTAACTTTGCTGTTATTTGTCCTCTTTCTCCTGCAGAGTGATCGTGGCTGCAGTAACGTTAGTAATGTCCCATTTTGGGTTTGAGAATGACATCCACAACGTCCTCCGTCTGGACATGCCCATCACAAATGCCCCGATGGCGAGGTGGCAGAGAAAAGCCAGCACATCCAACTCCACCAGCACGAACTCCCTCTCGCCGAACAAGAGTGTCAACAGATCCGCGAGCCTTTCCAAAACCCCCAGTAAAACACCCGGTGAGTGTCGCGTGGGTCCTGCTCACTGTAGCGCTGGAGTGTCTTCAGTGTTACATCTCTGATGTCTCCCAACAGGAAAGAACGGCAAAGCCCAAAACACCCCCTCAAAGGCAGGAGGAGATCGATTCATCCCAACACGGAATAACAAACAGTTGGATGTAGCAAGTTTTCTTATTTCCAAAGAGAACGAGCCAGTGGAAGAAACCGCATCCTCTACAGCAGTAAGTTACATAATAATAGTTGTTGTTGTTGTAATAACTTGTAGTAGTAATTGTTTAAAAAAAAGTTTTTATAATAAATTATAGTAGAAGTAACTTTTTATAAGAATAATTTTAAGAGTCTTATGAGGATGATGATCCAATTATGAGTCTCTTTTATTATCATCATCATTATTATGATCAATCCATATGCCAGTTTCTAGATGTTTTCTGACTTTATAAATTATTGTCCTGCCAGCCAAATCAGAAAGCTTGGTCTGTGACACTAAATGGATATGACATTGATGAAGCAAAGATCCTACATTTAGGAGGAAAACCACTGAATGCCCCTGAAGGTATGTATGGTGTTTGTGTGTGTTTAATTGACTGTTTTTCTGAATTGCTAAAACGCATTTCTTGAAACCATCACTCATTTTCTCAATCTTAAACGCCAATCCAAATACTCAAAATAAATTCACGAAACCTCTGACTCCATCAAAATCAAACAATCACTGCAAAACCATTTCACTTGCACTCAAAATCAAACGGTGCTCTCAGACCACACACACACACACACGAGTCGATAAAATAAACACCACAGAGCATTGATTAGACACTACAGAGGAACATGGCATCCAGAACATCACAGAAAAAGTATTGTATTGAGTAAATTTTGCAATTCTGTAAAAAAGTATAGTAATTGCAACAAAGTAAGCTGAATATATTGTATAGGCCTACTGTACAGTATGCACTGCAAGAATAGTATTGTGCTGAATATTGAATAGTCCTGAATGTTTGTATATATTCCGCACTTGGATACTGCAAAGGTCAAATGGAACTAAATGAATAGCATGTTACAGTACACTCAAATACTGTAAGTTGTGCAATTGTAAAATCGGGGTCAATGAGAGATTCATTCTGTCTCGGCATCATGTCTTTGTGCTTGAGTCCAGCCTGAGGACTTTGTCCACATCACAGGTAATGTTGTCTTTACCTGTGACCGAGGAAAAAAACCCTCTGGTCTGACAGATCCAGCCTTGATAACACTCTAAACCTTACTCTTTCGCTCCTCATCCTCTTCCTCCTCTCCTTCTCAGATCGTTTCCATCTGGTATCATCATTCAGTCACCTGTGCCACTTGTGCACTCTGAACTGGCTCATATTTTGTACAGTTGCTTTGATCACATTAGAAACAAGTGTGAACAATTTTGAATCGTTGTGTGTAAACGATGACAACTGTGCTTTAGTAGTTTAACTTTTGCCACTTGTGTTTAGCATTTTGCAGCACAAATGCGTCCCAGTGTGATGAATGAAAATGTGTTTTAGGGCTGTCAAAATGTCTGGAAAACTAAATTAGAATTTTGTACTTAAATATGATCAATATTCGAATTTAATATGCATAATTTCAGTTAGGGTGAAGAAAAGCATTTGGCTTCTCTCCTGAGGCCACAATAGGGGTGCATCAAGCAAAACATAAGATAACATGACCATCTGTGAGAAAAGTGCATAATGTTTAAGCAACTTGGTTATAATTAGATTATAAACGACTATAAACACAACGGCATGTATGTATGCCTAGTATAATACAAAGGGCTAAAAGCCAATCACACAGAATATATTTTTTATTTAAAAACATGCATTTAATTTACATGGATTTCTAAACATGCCTCTTTTGTGCGAGACGTGAGTGCAACAGTGATTGTTGAAAATGCGAAATATGAGAGTGCACGAAATATGCATTCTGTGTAAACGGCTTGGTTTCAGTTTTGACGTAAAAGATCTTCTCTGCATTGATCTTTTCACGCAATATTTGTAATTTAACATTGCAGCAGCGCCGCATAGTGGCTTCAACTGGATAGGCTAACAAAAACATTATAATGCAATGACACTTGCATCGTTATCGCATCTCGTGCGCCACTGATAAGGCTGCCTCCTTAACGCACATTTAAAATTCGAATACCGCCCTAATGTGTTTGGAGTTTTGCAAAAAGAGTGCATGAGATTTGCAACTAGAGCCTAACTGCCTGAACGCGTTTAAGGTTTAGCAGAAAGAGTGCTTTATTCGACAAATTGGTTTAAGCTAGTGAGAATTTGGTTCAGAGATTGGGGTTTAGTGTTTTAGCAATTCAGAAAAACTAACTTTTTTTTTGTTTTTGTTTTTAGCTTATTCAGTTTAATTTTGCCTGGTGAAGTCCTTCCACAAACGGGTCTCTTGAGTTAACCAAACAATATCTCCCACAGGTTATCAGAATAATTTAAAGGTTCTCTACAGTCAGGTGCCCACACCGGTCTCTATCAAGAAGAGCCGGTACATTTCCTCGGTTCCAGAGCGGATTCTAGATGCCCCTGATATCAAAAATGATTTCTGTGAGCTGATCACTTTTCATAAAAACAGATTTGAAGATTTTCTATTTGAGACTAATATGTCAATTTCTGTTCAGATCTGAACCTGATGGATTGGGGAAGGCAGAACCTGTTGGCAGTTGGCCTTGCCAACCATGTGTATTTGTGGGATGCTGCTGCAGGGGACATAGTTTTATTAAAGAAAATGGAGGATGATAATGAGTTCATCTGCTCGGTCTCTTGGAGCAAAGATGGCAATTTCTTGGCCATTGGGACCAGTGATTGTAAAGTTGAGGCAAGTGGTTACATTTTCTCATACTGTGGTTAATTTTTATTTTATTTGTTCTTGGACGAAGCCTTCCATTGTCCAAGACAATATTCAAAGGCATCCCAAAATGTAATGCCGTAATAACACATCTGCTTGTTTTCAGAACTTCGCTCTTCAAACTCTCAAATAGCCATTTCTATCCAATGTATTATTTTAGAGCACCAAGATCTAATTGAATTGCCCTCTTGCTGAATTTCATGCCATTTTCTTGCAGCTCTGGGATGTTCAGTACCAAAAACGTCTCCGTAGCATGGATGGCCATTCGGCAAGGGTTGGTTGCTTGAGTTGGAATGATCACGTTTTGTCTAGGTAAGACCAGCACCTTGTGCTCTGCAGATTATATGCATTTGAGTGTTTTAACACATTTTGTTTTCTCCTTAGTGGCTCCAGGTCTGGTTTGATTCATCAGCATGATGTCCGGGTAGCAGACCACCACATCTTCACCTTTGGTGGACACACTCAGGAAGTCTGTGGCCTTACCTGGTCCCCAGATGGGAAATACTTAGCTAGTGGTGGTAATGACAACATGGTGTACATTTGGCCAATGACAACTGGCTCAGAGTATCAAGCCATCCATGCTCTTAGTGAACACCAGGGAGCAGTCAAGGTGATTTTTGAATTTGGCAAGATGTCTTCAGTTCCACCACTGGTCTTCCATTTGTGGTTTTAGTTCACCTTTGTTTGTTTTGTGTTTTTTGCACCCTTAAGGCTTTGGCATGGTGCCCTTGGCAGCCTAGCATCCTTGCGTCAGGAGGGGGCACCAGTGACCGTCACATTCGCATCTGGAATGCCAACAGCGGCTCTTGTATCAGTGCCCTAGATACTTGTTCACAGGTGGGCTCACTCACTGTTGGCTTGTGTGTTATAGTACACGTGACGTCAGTAATTTGACAACTAAATGATAATTTCCTTTCAGGTATCATCTCTTGTTTTTGCACCGAACTACAAAGAGTTGGTGTCTGGTCACGGTTTTGCTCATGACAAGGTTATCATTTGGAAATACCCCTCACTCACTAAAGTTGCAGAGCTTGAAGGCAAGTTTGAGATTGTTGTACTTCATAAAGTTTTGTGTGGTCATCCTTCCTTCAGTTGAATATTACATGCACAATAAATTGAGAAATAAAATTAATTCCTCTCTTTTCCCAATCATCTGTCTCAGGACACGAAGACCGAGTCCTCAACTTGGCACTCAGTCCAGATGGTTCGACTGTGGCTTCTGTTGCCGCTGATGAAACCATTCGACTTTGGAAGAGTTTTGAAAAGGATGCGGTGAAGAAACCCAAGCCTACCAACAGCATCATTCAACAACACATCCGATAATTATGAAATGGTCATTTTTATTGCATCCAGCAAATAGGGAGTTGGAAGATTTTGAAGATCTAAAGCAGTTTCCCAAATGTTTATTAAACTCATTGGTTTTATTGTTTGGCTTTCAAATGGCTGGGTAATTCCACTGACAAACACTAACGGTTGTTACGTGCCATCAGTCACACCTGCCACAAACTACATTGTTTTATTAGGCATTCCCTTATTCTTGTGTTTTCAGAGGCACAATGGGTTTTTCAAAAAATGTGAAAGTTCAAGCATGGGATTCCAAGAAGACCACC